GGGCCAGATGAACTACATCTTTGAGTAGTGAGGGATTTGGCAGATGTGATTGCTAAGCTACTATCTGGGTGGTACCTGAAAGACTGTGGAGAACAGGAGAAATATTATGATACTGGAGAAAGGCCAATATTCTCCTGATTTTCAAAGAAAGGAAGAGGATTGAATCTGCAAATTATAGTCCAGTGAGTTGGGTTTTGATTCCTGGTAAGATTCTAGAATTTCTTAATAAAGAGGTTGTTAGTCAACATCTAGAAAAGGAAGTGGTGATCACAAAGAACCACCATTGTTTGAGCAAGAACCGGCTATGCTAGCCTAGCTTTATTTCCCTTTTCCACAATTGTCAGATTAAAGAAAAGCTATAGATATAATTTACCTTTACTTTAGCAAAATATTTTTCGGTTTTTTTAAATGCTGTTTTTGAGTAATGGAGAAATGTAGGCTACATAATAATAGAGTTGAATAATAATAGATTGGAGAATAGTTGAATGGACTCAGAGTACTTTATTAATATGTTAGTATCATCTTGGAAGGAGGTCTGTTGTGCAGGCTCCAGGGATCAGTTCTTGGTCCTTTGCTATTTTATCATTTTTATAAATGATTTGAAGAAGGCATAAGTGATATCCTAATCAAATTTGCTGATGACATGAAGCTGGGAGGACTTGCTAATGTGTACTGGATGGCAACATAATGATTCAGAAAGGTCTTGTCCAGCTAGCACAGTGAGCTAAATCTAATAGGATGCAATTAATAGGAATAAAGTCATACTTGACCTTAAAAAATTGACTAAACAGATATGAGATGGGGAGCTATGGTTAGCAGAATGTTTGAAAGAGATCTTGGAGTTTTAGTGGGTGGCAGGTTGTATATGAGTCAGTAGTGTCATATGGCAGCCAAAAAGTCAATTATTGACAATTTGGGTAGCATTGAGGATAGCTTCCAGGGTAAGGAGCTAATAGTTTCTCTGTAGTCTGCCCTGGTCAGAGCACATCTGTAATACTGTGTTCTGTTTGGGTACCACAATTTAAGAAGGACATCAATAAACTGGGGAGTATCTAGAAGATAATCAAAATGGTGAAGGTCCTAGAGTCTTTGCCATAGGAGAATGAGTTGAAGAAACTGGGAATGTTTAGCCTTGAGAATACTAAAGGGGGGAGGGACATGATAAATATTTAAAGATCTCTCATCTAGAAGGGGGATGGAGACATGTACTGTGAGGCCCCAGAGCAGAACCAGGAGCAGTGGATGAAAGGTGCAGAGAGACGGATTTAAGCTTGATGTCAAGAAAAACAACCTAAAAATAAGTTGTCCCAGAGCACTCTCTCCTATAGTAGGGAGTTCTCTCTCATTGTGGCTCTTCTTGCAGCTATTGGATAGATCACTTGCTGGATATGTTGTAGTGGTTTTTTTTTTTTTTTTTTTTGAGGGGAATGGTGGTGGTGGTGGTGGTGGTGATGGTACAGGTACAGGTACAGGTTGGAGTAGATGGCTGCTGAATTCCATTCCAACTCAGAAACTCTGTGATTCTGTGATATCCTCCCGATTGGGATGTTGAAAACCTCCTATTAATAATTTTTGTGTAACTGATGCTCAGAAAGTTTGAATAATCTGTAATCCTTTGTATTTTAGGACCAATACTTATTCTGCTTCCCATTTTGTTTTTTGAATACTTTATTTTAGAATCCTGGTTTTAAAATTCTGTTATCTGGATAGCTAAACCTGTCTGCATTCTTTTTTATTCAGTTAATAAGTAATTATTAATTGCTTGTTATGTGCTATGTGCAGTGCTAGACCCAGAGGATGAAATTAAAAAACATGAAAGAACCTCTCCTCTCAAAGAGCTTATGTTCCAGTGGGAGGCGGTGGGCAGAGTAGATATAATACATATAGCAGAGTGTATGTAAAGAGGAGAAAATACAAAGGAATGTAGATTAGTTAAATGTGAGGTAGTTTGGGAAGTAAGGTGCTTGTAATTGGGGGATGAAGAAAGGCTTCATGTATCAAATGGTGTTTTGAATGAGAGGAGTAAAGGTGAGGAAAAAGTGCATCCCACATATGTGAGAGGAGTAGTGCAAATGTAAGGAGGGGGCCAATGGAGAGTTCCACGGGGGGACAGAGAGAAGGCCAGTTCAGGGAGGCTGGGAAGACAGATCATGGTCAGAGCTGGGAAAGTCTTTCTAAGCTAAACAAGGTTTACATTTTATCCTAGGGAGGCTTTGTAGTTTATTGAGTAGAGTAGTGACATGGTCAGATCTTTGTTTATGGAAAATCACTTTAGGAACAGTGGGTAGGACGGACTGGAATGGTGAGGGAACTGAGATAGGGAGAACGATTAGGAGGTCATTGTAAAAAAAAAAAATCTAGACCAGAACACAGCTGGGGGACATGTCATGATCGAGCTTACTGGATACATTACAAAATCATATTGTTCAACCTCAGTTGGGCTTTCACTGCAGCAGTTCTTTTATTCCTTCTTAATTGATTCCCTCTCTCAGTTCCTAGAAACTCTTCAAGTCTCCCATACCACCACGTACCTGCTCCTTCTCCAGCTGAGGACCATGCTTCTTCTTTTACTGGGAAAATTGAGGCTATTTGAAGTTAGCTTCCTCATCTCCAATTCTCTTTATCTCAGAAAACAAAAACAATAACAAAAAAACCCTTGACATTATCCCCCACTCTCTTCTCCTTTTTCCAGGCTCAGACAAAAAGGTAGCCTTTTTCCTTGCCAAGGTCAGCATGGCTGCTACCATCTTCTTCAGAAGATTACCACCTCAATGATCTTTTATCTTTCTCTAATATTTAACTTCTCCCCATCTAATGGTTCTGTCTTTACTGCCTTCAAACATGTCCAGATCAGCTACAGCCTATTACACCTTGTATCATCCTAAATCCTTTGCAGTTTGATGACCTAATTGTCTCATAAGTTACCACTGTCTCCTTACTGCCCAAATGTATGATCTCAGTCCTTATCCTGCTTTACCAGTTTGCTTCATTTGACAGTGTTGACCATTCTGTCTCCCTGGACCCCTTCCTTATTCTCTCCTGCTTCTCCTTGTAGCCCTCTCCTTGACCCCTTTGCTTCTTTATCCAGGTCCTGCTCCACTAGCTGTGGATGTTGCCCCAGGTTTTGTTCTGTGTGGTGTTCTCTTTCTGTCTCTGTCTCTGTTTCTCTTTGTCTCTTTGTCTGCCTCTGTCTCTTTCTCGGTTTCTCTGTCTGTCTCTGTCTCTTTCTTGACTGTTCTGCTCCCACAGGTTTAACCACCTTTTCTGTGCAGTTGACTCCCAAATTTATGTGGCCAGCTTCTGTCTCTCCATTGAGCTTCACTCCCACCCACATCACCAAGTGTCTATTGGACATTTCAGGCTGGATCTCCTAGAGACATCTCAAACTCAATACATAACAAAACTGAACTTAGTTATCTTTCCTCCAAACCCTTCCTTCTTATAGACTTTCCTGTTTTATTTAAGGCTTTACCATCCTTCCAGTCTGCTGGTTTGTAATTTTGGTATCATCACGGAATCCTCATTCTTCTTCCTTCCACACATCTAGACAATTGTCAGATCTTGCCATTTCTACCTCCACAATATCTCTTACATCCAGTACCGTCTTTCTACTCACATAACCACCACCTCAGTTTAATCAGTCAATCAACAAGCATTTATTGAACACTTATGTGGCTTTCACTGTGCTAGGGCTGGGGATATAAAGGGCCTTATGTTTTAATGAGGGGAACAGGAAGTACACGTATAAAATACAGCATAAAGGTAAAGTGGATAAATACCACTAGACACAAAGTAGCTAACACAAGGAAGTTGGCACAGCAGGAAAGGCTTCCTGAGGTTAGCTGCTTAGTGGACAAGTCAGGGGAAGGCAAGGAGAGAGGGTGGAGGAGAGAAGGTTTGGAATAGGGAATCACTTCAGGAGAAATGAAAGGGCTGAGCTTTGCCTTTGCTTGACAGTAGGGCTGAAATGCCTTTTAAGCCAATAAACAAATTCTTATTAAATGTCAGTTTTGTTGGAAGCATTTTATGTTGTAAAAAGAAATTGTGATAGAATTTCATTACAAAGTGAGAATTTTGGGAAAAATAGTAAAGCAAATGTTCACAAATGATTTGTAGCACCCATTGCATCTGTGTAGAGCATCTGATATCAGTCAGTGGTTTTATTATTGAGGAAGAGGAAGGAGCCTGGTGGAACCAAAAGTTCAGATTTTTATTATATTTTAATTTTTGTATGTTTTTTCCCTTTTTTTTTTCCCAGGGTGGGGCTTTTATCTGTCCCAAACTCCTACTGGTTTCTGTGTCAGTCAAATAGCATTTATTAAGGGCAGGCTATGTGCCAGGCATCTTGCTAAACACGGAGTGTAAAGAAAGGCAAAAAGCCATACAGTTCTTGCTTTTGAGGAGTTCATGGCCTGATTGAGAAGACAACATGCAAACAGCTATATACAAACAGTTTATAAACGTAAATTGGGGTGATCTTAGAGGAGATTTTGGAGGACGTGGCTCCACTGTCCAATCAGGCCAGAGCTCATCTCGTACATAATGTTTATTTTATTTATTTATTTTTTTTGGCTAGGCAGTGGGGTTAAGTGACTTGCCCAGGGTCACACAGCTAGTAGGTATTATGTGTCTGAGACTGGATTTGAACTCAGGTTCTCCAGAATCCAGGGCCTGTGCTTTATCACAGGCACCACCTAGCTGCCCATTATGTTTATTTATAAAGTACACATGTGGTCCTAGAAGCTTCTACAAAATGGTTTTCTTTAAATTTCCTGTGTGGCGGGCACCTGAAATACTGCATAAAACTGCAGTGCGTTGGTGGTTGGTGGTTTCCCTTGCCACTAGTTCAGTTTCATTTTGTTACCAGGTTCATCCATAAGTGGTAGAGCTGTGGCTGAATAAAAGCTGTCTTTACTGGTATTTTAGGCAGTGAAGCTTTACCAGCTTAGTAAGTAACTTGAAAACATAGCTCTAATTTCACTTCTGTTTTAATTTTTCAGGTGGGTTTGCTTTTGTATATGAAGCTCAAGATCTTGGAAGTGGTAAAGATTATGCTTTAAAGGTAACGGTTATTTGGAAAATTAAACATTGAATTGAAAGCTGTTTTGGAATATTTAAAAGCATTTCCCCAAATGAAAGAAGTCCCACATTGGAAATAAGAAAATACCTGATTTTTTTCTTTTCCCTTCTTCTTGATGTGCCCACCACTTGAAGTTATTCTCCCTTTTCTGTGGCTGTCGGCGTAGCCTTGGAGTGGACTCTGAAAGCTAATCACTTTTAAAGCATCCTTGGGGCAGATATGTCATGGCTTTGGGGAAAGATCTTTGGCCAGCTTACTCAGTGATTATTGCAATCAGCTTTCGTGTTCTTTTCCTTCTTTGATTTTAATTTGACACTAAAAGAAAATTTGTAATTCCTCACTAACAGATTCTTGTTCTTCTAAAAGGCCTCAGTGGACACAGGGCAGGAGAGTGGAAAGAGTCTGTGCCTAGAAGCTGGGAAGCTCAATTTTTAGCTCTAACTAGTTTTGTGATTTGGGGCAAATCACTTGCTCCCACTCTCTGACTGTAAGAAGAAAGAGCTAGATTAGTTGATCTCTAAAGTACTCCTAGCTTTAGCTTTAGAGTTTCTTGATATGCTATATACTACCCAAGCATTTTCCATTTTGGGAGGAACTTCCTCTTTGCTGGAGATCTGTATATTTTATGGGTAACTGGATGAGGGAGCCAGCCCATTTTGTAATTTTTGTTTGGGCATGTGCAATTTAAATGTTGTTGTTTAGTCATATCTGACTCTTCTTGATCCCATTTGGGGTGTTCTTGGCAGAGTTACTGGAGGGGTTTGCTGTTTCCTTCTCCAACTGATTTTGCAGGTGAGGAAACTGAGGCAAACAGGGTTAAGTGACGCCAGGGTTAAGTGATGTCAGGAAGATTCCTCTTAGTGAGTTCAAATGTGGCCTCAGACTACTAGCTGTGTTACCCTGGGCAAGTCATTCATTTAAATTTCATATATTTAGTTATTTTTTGGTGAGGCAAAAGTGACTTGCCCAGGGTTACACAGCTGGTGTCAAGTGTCTAAGGCCTGACTTGAACTCAGGTCCTCCTGACTCCAAGGCTGGAGCTCTATCCA